CAGTAGGGAGCTCGGACTCTTAATAGGGAGCTCGGACTCCCAGTAGGGAGCTCGGGTTCTTAATAGGGAGCTCGGACTCTTAATAGGGAGCTCGGACTCCCAGTAGGGAGCTCGGACTCCCAGTAGGGAGCTCGGACTCTTGGTAGGGAGCTCGGGCTCCTAGTAGAGTGGTCTGGAGTTCGGGCTTAGTAGTGAGCTTGGACTTGCTTTCGGTGTTCGCTTCGGGCGCTCTACTGTCCCGAATTGCTTGTTTTTGCCACGTGTCGGGTGATTGCAAGGTCGGGCCAAATTCCCCTTCATCAGTTCCAACCATGTTGTGGAGCAATGTCACTCTTGTTTTTGTTTGGGTTAAAGATTAAACATATCCTAAGTTTTTATAATTTGACTTAAGCATACGTTCAGTTTTTCAAATAGTCTTAAAATATACCTTATCGGCTGACCCCACTGACTTAAACCTATCCTCATTTCCTTTTCCCTTTTATGAACCTAATATTTTAAAACTCCTATTTTACCCTTTGAAAAGAATAGAAGCTAATTTCTCAATGTATCATCTATCGCTTCAAGTTTTTGTAGTTTTCAAGGTTTTACATTTTATTAGGTGATACCCATTTGCTTCAACTTATTTTAAACAGTCCCGATATGACTTTGAAAGCATAGGCTTGTCCTAATTTATTTCCTAATCTATAGACGCTTTCAACTACTTTGAATGTGTAGAGGTACCTGTAACCAGTGGCTCATGCTCCGATACATAATTTTTCTTTTGGTGGTTGGTTAATGTGTAATAAACTTTCTAATAGTTAAAAACAGGGTGATAATGGATCTGAGGTCTATCAAAACCATCCATTGGTTAAATTTCCATACATCAAGTATATGTTTGGCATTGATGCTGCAGATATAGCACCTTTTTTTCAGAAAACAGTGTTGTTGATATGTGGGTTGGAAGCACCATTTTTTGAGAAAACGTTGTCTTTTTTTGTTTGGAATGGCTGCTACTAGCCTGCCAGGTAAGACATTTCCTGGAGCAACAACAATGTTTTCTGTTTGGTACCAATGCTCTAGGAAACGTTTTCAGCATTGGTACCTATTACTCAGTGCCATGTCTTGTCCCTGTCACTACCACCTCATGTCCCTGTTGGCAGCAATGAGCTGCAACACCAGGAAACGCCAAATTCGGTGTTGCTCTAAGCCACACCTTCCCAATTTCCAAGGTGTGGCTTAGAGCACCGTTTTTTATGGAAAAAAATGGCTTCAAACAAACAGGTGTTTCCTAGAGCATCATTTTTTCCAACGTGGCACTGATGTGTCACCGTTTTCTAGAGCAATGGCATCAATGCCAAACAGACACCAATTTATTTCGTTAATTATCACTTTCTAGAAGCACAGATGGGCTCTGCTTTTCTAGCCATGGGTGACAGTTATTTTGCAAATACAAGATTCAAGAAAAGATGATAAAAATCGTCTATTCTTTTGTATTCTTTGACATGTAATATTCCATTGTTTCAGAATTTTTCATGGCCCAATTTATAGAGAGAGTTGAGAATTAGATTCTCTTTTAAAATTTGAAGAATGATGAAGAGTAAAAAAGAAAATTCTTTTTGGCTACAAGGTATATTTAAATCTATTTGAAAAACTCAGAATATATTTATGTCAATTTATAAAAACTCAAGGTATATTATAAGTATTTTACCCTTTTTGTTTTCAAAAACAAAAATCAACATTGTTGTCGAAACATCCCTACTCCCTAAGGTGTTGTTTGACAAGTCTTTTTTGAAAGATTTTCTAGAAAATTTGATGGCCAAAAGACACAGTGAGCTTTTACCTAACAATTTTGACAGCCCAAAGATCGTTTGGTTGGAGGCATGTCTTTCTACATAGAGACGAGACTTGAATAGGTGAAAAAAGACAAAAAAACTCCACTTCTAGTTTCCCAAAATAAGCTCGAATCAAACTTCTCATATTTTTTTGGAGCATGATCTTTTGGTAGAAAGATCTTCCCCCAACCAAATGGGAAAAGATTGAAAACCAAACTGCCAGAATTCTAAAAAGCTGAAAGCCCGTGTGAAAAATCAGGCCAAACGGGGCCTTTATTTTATGTATTTTGAAGTAGCTCATTCCCCAATCCATAACCCCCACCCCCTAAGGCATGAATTTTCACTCCTAAATTCTGACCATTAGGGCCCCGGAAGGGTATCCTCGTGAGACTAGCTAGTCAAATGCTAATTATTGAGAGAAACTGAGGAAAGGAGAGATGACTTTGGATCAGAGATCAAATCAGCCCCCCATAACGTTCCACAACATATTCTCGCGGTGTATTGAAAACATCTCTCAATGATAATACCAGAATGATGTCATCATTGAGAGATGTTCACAAGGCACTACAGGGATGTGCTGTGGGACATTGTGGGGGGCAATCTTGTGGAGGGCTGATTTGAACTCCTTTCATAAACATGCAAGCTAACAAACGGCCAAAACGTAACTGGACGGCTCACGTAGAATATAGTACCTACACGGCTACACCTACACTACACTTTACAGTATCCGTCCAAAAGAACTTCACTCGTCAGTCGTCACGATGATAAAGGACGGTGTCGCTTTTTTATCCATTTCTCATCCAATCATCCTCTCTAATAATAATACCCACACGCAGACGCAATTTCAAGTATCAAGTTGAGATATTTCACAAACAACTGCGAGGAGCCGAGGACACAGAACCAGGTCCGGAAGGAAACCATGAACGGTTCGAAAATCGAAATGGATCCGTCTCATGTAAACTAATTGGGCGATCCGTGATCGCATCCAAACCCAATCCAAAATCCGGGTTTATGAATACAGAGGAAATGCCTCTATTGGTTATATAGCTAGAGAGGCAGGCATAAGGCAACTACTTTTCCTTCGGCATTCATTTGGAAGGAACCAATGAACGAGAAGAGAGACTCGTACAAGCAAAATCCTTCCTCCTTTCATTGTCTGGTGATTGGTGAACCAGTCGTGAAGTGGAAGTATGAAATCATCTCATCGCTTCCTTCCTCCACAAAAAACTTCTGATACAAATTATATATACACAACCAACCAACCAACCTAACATGCCATCACCATTCACCACCCACTCAACTTCCATCCCATGGCCACGGCGAGGAGGTTCGTTGCCTTTCTTCTTTTATGCTTACTTCCTCTTCTACCCACAACCTCTGCTGCTTCCCATGGTGACTCGGTGGTCCTAGGAGTTGCCGATGAAGACATCCAGTCCGAGAGCGCCATCTTCAGTCTGTACAGGAGATGGCTTGCCATTCATCGACCTCACGACATCAACTACAGGGTGACAGGTCGTGACTGGGATTTGGGCCGCCAGAATACGTTGCTCAAGAGATATAACATCTTCAAGAACAACGCTCGCTTCATTCATGCAAGTAACAAGAGGACTGACGTTACTTACACTCTGGGACTCAACAAGTTCGCAGACTTACCTAACGAGGAGTTCCGTGCAATTTACACATCATCAACCACTAGAGTCCTCAGACAACAAGGTGGGGTTATGGGGAGAAGCTTCATGTATCAGAATGATACACAACCTTTGCCGGCCTCTGTAGATTGGAGAAGCAGAGGAGCTGTTACTGGAGTCAAAGACCAGGGCCCATGTGGTGAGTTGCAGAAGAAAAAAACTTTTAATACCAAGAACCATCCATCTCAGCTCAGGAATCGGGTTCATATATAGGTTTTCTTATCGAAGTGATTTTTTTTTTATAGAATTTATTATCACATCGAAATGAATTTTAACTGATTTAGTTGCAATTGCAAATCCTAGGGAGTTGTTGGGCTTTCTCGACAGTTGTGGCAGTCGAAGGCATCAACCAAATCAAATCAGGGCAGCTGATCTCCTTATCAGAGCAAGAACTGGTCGACTGCGATAAGAAGGTAAACCAAGGCTGCAACGGCGGCCTAATGGACTATGCTTTCCAGTTCATTGCTGAGAATGGTGGAATCAGCAGTGAGGACGATTATCCTTACACTGCTACCGACAACAAATGTGATCTCACAAAGGTAATTTATAACAAGTAAACATCTTCCTTCTTATTTAGGCCAACAGTTTTTTTTTTTTTTTGGTTTCCTTTTTTTATTGTTTATTCATTCATTCATCTACCAACTTTCTTCCGGCAGAAACATTTGCATTCGGTTGTTATAGATGGTTATGAAGATGTTCCTGCCAATAGCACCGATGCTCTGATGAGAGCCGTCTCTCATCAGCCTGTTTCAGTAGCAATAGAAGCTGGAGGGATTGAGTTTCAGTTCTACTGGAAAGTAAGTTTCTTCATTCATTCATCCTCGTGGTTCTGACCACGAAGAAGAAAAGACAAGTTAGTTATAAAACAGGCTTATGGTAGTCAACAGTCAACACTGATTGTGCACATCTCCATGCAGGGGGTGTTTGGCGGGGCTTGCGGGACAAATCTGGATCACGGGGTTGCAATTGTAGGTCATGGAGAGTCAAAGGAAGGGATCAAGTATTGGATCATTAAGAACTCATGGGGATCCGACTGGGGGGAGGATGGCTACATCAGGATGAAGATGAATGAAGCAGAGGGACTGTGTGGAATAAACATGATGGCATCATATCCAGTTAAATCCACACCCAATCCTTCCAAAGCAAAAATAAGTGACACCCTTATCTACCTGCCCACTGGAAGAAAGTTTGGGCAGCCCTTGGCTTCGTGAGAAGCTGTGAAATGAAGAAAAGAGATAGGGAATGTAATTTACAACAGTTAATTTTGTCTAATTTGATGGCAATAGATGGACAATCTGTATACATATTTTCTTTCTCCCATCCAACACTTGGAAACTAAATTGATGACAAGATTCCACACCAAGCAAAGATTTCATTCATAAAGCCTTTAACATATAGCGAAGGCAATACATATAAATAAACAAAAGACTAAGTATTTCATTAACACTCAGGAAACAATTGAAGTCAAGTATAGAATGCTAGGTAAATGGATACCTATGACCTGAAGCCCTCTATCACCCTCCAGAATCAACTACAGAAAGGACACAATTACCAGCCCACTCTCTTCCTTTGAATGAAGAGCAATTGCCTGTAAAACTTGTTTGCTTTGTTCCCATATATACAGTCCCTGAATACAAAACACAAGTCGGGGCCAGTATGTTCCTGTACAGTGGAGTTCTTGGTTCTATGGAACCTGACAACCCAAAACAATTGGAAGTAACAGGGCGTGAGCTACTAAAAGAATAAAGAACAGATTTCCACCTCCTGAAGCATGTTTACCCATTTCATGACTCAACACCCAATTGAAAATTGAGACCATTGGAACTACCAAAAGATATCTTTCTTTGTCTAGCCCGAAGATGTGCGAGGGGGTGTTACATGGGCAACAAGCACGGCCTCATTACTTGCAGCTTTTGATGCAGCAATCTCTTCTAAACGCTTCCATGTTGCTTCTCGCTTTGCTGTAATATCTTTCTCTTTTGATTCATCTTCCTGAAACTTGAGAAGGCATTCATCAAATAGCTCAGGATCAAGGTCAGAGAATATTTTCCGGACATTTAGTGTCAAGCTCTGAACTGCTTGATTCCAGTGGTTTCTAGCATTTTTCTCCAAGGCAGGGAAGATGATAGGCAGTATAACTTTGCGATTTTGTTTGATTAAGTTCTCAACATGATCATTATTCCATAAGAACAAAGCTCTCTCCGCCACCTGCAATGAAAGCATCAATTATATTGAGTGTGATTCAATTGCTTTAGTGCAGAAGCCATCATATCACCTAAGATACTTGAACTAGACCAATCAGTGACTGCATGAACCTTGAATCCTAACTACTTGGGTCTGCTACATAAGGCCATTACCCAATATCTTTTTTTTTTTTTTTTGATAATTGAACTATTGGTCGCTGCCATCTTCTTGGGAGGGGTAGATTAGATTTGGTCTTTAACTTTTTGGCATTTTTTTGCACAAAGTAGCTGCTCTTAGACTCGAACCCGCATTGTCATGCTTGCCAGCACAAGATTTTACCATTACACCAAGCAATAAACACGAATCCCAATATTTCACATGTTGGAGTTTTCCTTTTGAAAAATTGCAATGCTGATTAGGATAAATCTTCAACTTTCTTCCACTTTGGACTCTTTAATTATTGAGTAGATACAGCCATTAAGTTATCTATATGTATAGAGTAAGTTTCAATTAAATGGGATATGATATAATTATTAATTAAATATTAGTGAAGAAGTTTATGCTTTCTTGTCATTGATAATCATGAAGAATTACATTATTTTAAGGAACAAAATGTAAACGAGTCAATTACATCTATAATGTTGTTTCTCCAATCCACTTACCCTAAGGATGTACAGTAATTAAACTAACTTGTTTTCAAAATTTTCTTAGAGGATATTTGGATAAGATTTTGTATTTTGCTACCTATGAAAGCACCTAGACAGGAGGTAGCTCCTAGGTGATTAAATGGTAGACTAGGGGCCCCAGTAATATATGCTTTTGCTATCAAAAGAAAGCATATGATCATCATAGAGAATAGTATGGTAGGTTTTGGAAAAGAAAGGAGTGTCAAATAGGTAATGTGGACCTAATTAAGGATATGTATGAGAGTGCAACAATAAATGTTAGAATAACTGCGGGAGAGACATCAGATTCTACAATTACAATAGGTTTTCACCGAGGCTGAAGGCTCAGCACTTGGTCATTATTTATTTGCACTTGTCATGGATGAATCGACTAAACATATTCAAGAGGAGGTCCCCATGATGCTTGTTGTTTTCTGATGGCATAGTAATAATTGATGAAACTAATGAAGGATTAAAAACAAAATTAGGTTTATGAACAAATACCTTAGAAACAAGAGGTTTTAAAATAAGTATATATGCTGGTGACAAAAAAAAAAAAAACAGAACATTATGTAATAGTGTGAATCAGGGTACACTTAGGATTAGAGATCAAGTGATAGCTCAATATGATCTCTTCCATTCCATTACCTTGGTTCAATAATCCATAACAAGGGAGAGATTTAGGAGGAAGTCGCCCATGTGATTAGAGCAAGATGGGAAAAACAGAGCGGTGGATCAAGAGTCTGGTAGATGAATACCACTTAGGATAAAAGGAAATTTTTATAAAATGGTTTTAAGGCCAGCAATGCTGTATGGAGAGAATGTTGTGCAGTCAAGAAACATGTCCAAAAAATGTGTTTAGCGCTAAAGGCTTTGAGTCTACAAAGATGTGGTTCTTGATTTTGCTAAAAAAACATGTCCAAAAAATGAGTTTGGCAGAAATGCAATTGTTAAGATGGATGAGTGGGAAAACTAGTAATGGCATGGCACATCAGAAATGAATCAAATGAATTTACAAGTAGCTGCAATAGGTGATAAAATGGGGGAAGTAGACTACATGGTTTGGTCATGTACACAACAACAACAACAACAAAAAAGGAGAGAGAGAGAGAGAGATCTATTACAACTTTTAACAGGATAAAGAACAAAAAGGGCATGGATTGAAGTAGTAAGGAATGATTTAAGGGCTCAAAATTTAATAATGGTTATGGCACTAAACAGAATGAAATGGTAAAACAGGATTCCAGTCAGAATTACAAGTACTTGTTAAAGTTCAACAAGTGCCTAAGGATTCCCTTTATAAGATTGTAAATGAAAAGCTCCAACTCATGACCAATGAGGGCCTTTGTCTAATTGGAGAAAAAGGATATCTTAGCCATCAGCAAACATCCTTAGCAATCTACTTTCTTTTGTTTTATGTCGGACAATTTGGAAAGAATGCAATTTTTTTTTTTAATTTTGAAGATAAGAACTGCTCATTGGATCATGTGGTGAAAGTATAAGCAATAAGGCAATAACTAAGATGCCTTAAAGATTTTCAACTACAGGGGATTGCTAGGAATGACATCAGGAACATCCCTACTAGTCCAAGATGCAGAAGTAGAGCAGCAGCAAAAGGAATCTTGGAAGAATAAATGTTAGAGCAGCTAAATAGAACAGTATAGGATAAGTCAATTACAGTTGGCTGAATCAAACAAAGAAGAAAGAGATTCAGTAAATTCAGAAATGTAATGTCTAATAGAAATTACTGACTATAAATGGCTTCTCATAACCATATATATAGACTCTCTAGACTTGCATTAATTTCTCTTCTGTTTCTTGGGTCTAACTTAGTAGCTAAGAGTAGAAATCACTGATTGTAGATTTAGTTGAATTTCTTGTGAAAGGAAAGGGGAGGAAGATAAGATTTCAGTAGTAGAGAAGAAAAGAGAGAGAGAAAAGAATAGGAAGTCAACCAAGATTCTTGAATTAACCCTAGCCACCAACCCCTCATTATATTTATATTTAACTTAAAGGATGAGATATTACAAGGATGCCCTTAGTAGGGCGGCTACTAATGTAGCTGAACAGTCACAACTTAAAAACATAAACTAATGGGCCTAAAGCCCAACAACTTCCTAACTAAATAGCTTAAAATAAGAATAAAAAAC